AAAAAAATAATAATAATAATAAGTTGGATAATTAACTTAAAACACATTAATTAAGTTTCCAAGTATATGATGTTTTAGTTTAAATGTAGAACCTGTATACACACGCCTCTCAACCACCTCACGATGTTCTTGATGAATATTTTCCCTTAGAGCCTAAAATGTAAAAACATTAAGTCATTTGAGTAAAACTATTAACCATATAATGATATAAAAGAATGAATGGATGCAATACCTGAAATTCAGACATTTTGTCTTTAAACTTTTTCTTCAAAGAACTGCAAATAAAGATCATTGTAAGCATAAATATGTAATCTTTTTTTTATTTATTAAAAGTAGGGTGGAGAGTAAGAATTAAGAACTTACAGTGTAGTTGCTGTTCTTGACCGGTCAACTCCAGTTCCTTTTCCACATCCAGGCTTTTGTCTGTTGGCTAAGTTCTAGTAAATAACAAAAAGGATGAATTATTGAATTATATATTAACAAAAAGTAAGAATTATCAAATAAATAATAACAAAAAGTAACCTCTTTGTCAAGTTCCTCGATTTTTGATTTAATAAACCTGCCAATCTTTCCAACTTCATCCACATCTTTCTCCATACGTTGCTTGATTGCTGTAAAATAACAAGCATTTAATTGAAATTTATATCAATAATTGAAAAGATTGATATCTTGTTTACATTAGCAAATGGCTATGAACTCATGATTCATATAGAAATAGGAACAACCTTTCATAGCAGCAGCCTTGGTTACAGCCTTGGATTCCTCATGAGCATCTTGTAGTTTTTTGAGTAATTTATTCAGCTTTTCATATTGTTTTTCGATGGATTGAACCTAGAAAAAACAAGTATATGATAAGTTTTATGATTTACACAAGGAAATTAGACATGTAGAAATAAGAGGATATAAGTATATAACACACCTTCTTGAAAAAATCATCCAACCCTAACTCTGCAGAATTCGAGTTATTTTGTGTTCCCATTTCAAGATCACCATGGCCATAATCTTGACCCCGAGGATTCTCAAATGATTCCTAAAAGACATTATGTTTCAACACTTTAATAGAAAATGACAGGTGTTATAAGTATAAATTGATATATACAAAATGAAGATTAGGTAATAAAGGTTTGACATCCAAAGTCAAAGGATCGCAGGTGAAAGAAAACGAAGAAAATAAGCTCAAAGATCCATTTGTAGTTCATATGCCTAATATTACCTAAAAGTAGCTGATACAAATTTGAAAAATACCTTTTTTTTTGTCCTTTTTGTTTAGAATCAGAGGTATAGGTTCAAATTTTCAATCAGACAATTTGATTACAGATGAATTCATAGATTCCAGTTGATTACAAGCTTAAACACCAACATTCGTCACCGATAAATATGAAACTGGAAACAAGATCTAAAAATTGATCTAAGACTTGAAGAAGGTACTGAGAATCTCGATAGCTTTGAACAATGCAGCTTTTGTCGCTCGAAAAATCGAATTTCCCATCACCAAGAAATAAAAAAGGATAGAATTTCTGAAGAGAAACTTACAGATAAAAGATCGTTCATGGTGAGTCGCAGCTAGATCTTCTTCTCAAGACGAGGGATTTTTCGCATAAATCAATCACCTTCGAACAGATACTAGGGTTTCAAGTTTCGACTCCTTTTGAAACAGATTGAGCAATTTTTAGACAGGAAACACATAAACATAACAATCAAATCAGCAGAAATACGACACACAATTGAGCAATTTTTAAACAGGAAACACATAAACATAACGGTATCAAGCAAATCCAAACACATAAAAAGGATCTAACTTCGAACAGATACTAGGGTTTCAAGTTTCGACTCTTTTTGAAACAGATTTGACTCAACCAAAGAAATAAAGTTAAAAAAAAGTGCATGAAACAATCAGATCTATGAAGTTTAACCAAAAGGGGGGAAAAGTTAGCTGAAATAAAGGGGAAAAAATTTAGAGTTCAATTAGCAGTGAAGAACAAGTCATTAGGAAAATGATTACCTGAAAAAGATGTGGATTTGAAGTTGCGAAGAGATGTTGAAGTCAATGCAGTAGCGCTCAAGCCATAGATTGAAGAAACATCAATTGATTCTTGAAGTAAGAGAGACGAATGTGTGTTCATCAGAACGTGGTTGATGTAATAGCAGAGCATACGGTGGCAGATTGTGTAAAATTGCAAAAACAATCCTCCAAGTTATAGCCAATTTTAAAATACGTACCTTTATCAGATAAAATACTAAAAATAAAAAACGTAAGTAATTAGTTCAAAAACTTCCTTTAGTGTATCTCTTAGTTTTTTTTTTTTTTTTTTTTTTGCCACTTTATGTAATATAATATAAAATACTGAAAAAAAAATTAATATTATTAAAAAAGAATTCTTAATTTACCAATTAAATAATCATGGTCCCCTTGATTGTATTTCAATCATATGATTTCCAACCTTAGATCAAATTGATGGCATCATCTTCTCCAAATAAAATTCAAACATTTAACTATACAATCTTTATATTTAGCAATTACATTTCAATCACAATTACATTTAATTATAAAATCTATCGTACTTTTAAAATATATTTCACAATTCGAGCACAATTACATCTAATTATAGAATCTTTAAAATCAACAATTATGTTATCAATTGAAGCATATCATTCTATTTATATATTAGGTATCAGTTTCTCCATAAATCTTGTCAAAAACATGAATAGTCACCCCTATCTTTCTCCTCTATTTTTTTTTCTCTTAAACCATAATTTTCTAATCCTCTTCGTCCTCATGTCAATGGTTATGCTTCAATTGATGTTTTGTGTGTTCATAATAGAATGTAGCACCATAAATTGGTTCCTTTTTGCTCATGTATTCTTAGAATTTGTGTATTGTCTCTTCCTTGCATCTCCAATTATCACACCTTTGTTTTGGCTTCACACAAATCTCTACAAACTGAAGCAAGCATCTCCATCTTTAGACGATCTATGTCATCATTTACCCTAATTAATATTGTTCATAATTTAACTCATTTATTTATAGTTTTTGGCTTCAAAATTCAAACCCGTTTAGTTTTTTCTTTTTTAAAAAACTCATTAAATAAACATATCAATAATTTTGTTATCTTTAATATATATTAAAACAATCTGGTTCATTGATTGTCTTTCACTCCTATGTTTTCCACCCTTAGATTAAATTGATGATATCATCTTCTCCAAATGAAATGCATTTAATTCCAATAAAATTTTTCTAATTGTCAGACAAAATTAACTTAAATCCATTGAAATGGAATGTATTTAATTCTAATAAAAGTTTCCCATATTTTAAATCTTGAATTTCTGGTTATAAAGGTTTTAAAATGGTCAACATTAAAAACATATTACAAAAAACATTTCAATTAAGACATTAAATAGCAACCATTAATATAAATTTGTTTATATTAGTAAACATTAATATAAAATCCATTTTTATTAGGAAACCATTGATACCAAAAATCAGATTCAAATTATGACATACATATACGATTCATCATTGAATCTGCGGCTCAAACTTATTTTCAATTGTTGCTTTACTTCAAACCTTCTCCTACAACATCATTCTTATTGTTTATAACATCCATCATTATTCCCTGCTTCAAACCTTCGTTGTTGTGCATTCGAAGGTCAGTACCTTCTTTCGTTTAATTAATAAAGATATTTTTTTAGTGTTTGAATGTAAATTAATATCCTAATATGATGGTTGAATTACAACATTTTTAACTTTAAATTGAAATCATAACTAGAGGTTATTGATATTGTTGGATGATTTTTTTTAAATGTTAAGTATGATTGAAGGTTTAGGTGCAGAAAGGTAATTTTATTTGTGATAGAATAAAGAAGGAAGATGCGAATTTACCTATTGAAGGTATCAATAAACTCCTAAATTTATGTGATTTATTTTAATTTGATAGCAAATTAGATGCAGGAAACCTTTGAGTAAGGAAACGTAAGGGCAAAAGGGTAATTCAACTTAGGAAACTAGAAGAGCATTGGGATGGAAAGGCAACTCAACAATAGATATTGAGATGACATATATACTAAAATGATTCTTTTAGCATGATACTTTCATTTTTTATCTGAAGGCTAAATCATTAATTTAGTATGGACTGTGTTCATCAGAAGGGTAAATTGGTAGTTTAATTTAAAAATGGATCAAATTGGTTGTTGCTACTATTTATGTTTGTTTGATTATCTCAATTTGGCTATGGTTTCTGAATTTATTGTCAATTATAACTTTATATTATACTATTTTTAGTAATGTATGTTTAAAGTACATTGTTATACCATTTTTAAAAGTAACATGTCGTGATTTTTTCGTGTTGTAAATGTCTTTTAATTTATCTTTTATTCATTATTAATGGGATGAATTTTATAAACAATTTAATCTATAAAGGGTTAAACTATAACTATTTTAATTTGTATATGTTTCTGTACAGTAAATATATTCTTTCAAAGATTGTTTTCTATGACTAACAAAATTATGTTTCTATTTTTGAAATCCCATAAAACATTACATAAGGTTTTTTTGGCTTAACATATTACATCATTTAATCTAGATTAAGTCAAACAAAACAACAATGTACAACTTTTCATATTAAATGTTTAACCTATTAACTTGGACTTGATCCTCAACAACCACTATAAATTGAAATAGTTATGTGATTTTTTTTACAAATTATAGCAACATACTTACCATGAAAAAAGAACTTTTAATGTAAACTACAACTTAGTTTTTTTTTATCGGTAACAACAATATACCACACTTAATATCAACATCATTGTCTACCGGTTTCTATAAATATTAGTACATAAACCGTATCAAAAGTAAGCAAAGAAGTTAGAATCTAAATTAGAAATGATCTTATTTTCTTGAATATCAGATTTACGGTATTATAGACAAAGTTTTTATTTGATTCTTAAATTTTCTATGTGGTTGTATTTATATGGTAGAATTAAATTGCATAATTACAATTAACATTTTTTATTAAACTTTGTATGTAAGTACGAAACAACAATAAGTATATTTTTGAACGAAAATTGTTCAAAATAATTTGCATAATCTAAATACATGTTACTTTAGTTAATTTCCTATACTTTCCTGTAAAATTGGATTTTTTTATCATATTACATTCAAAGGATGGGTTATTAGAACAGGCACCTTAGGTGTTTGACAAAATGTTTCAAATAATTTTACACACGTTCTCTATGCTCATCTCACAACAGGTATAAATTTTGCTTTTATTTTTTTTCTATATTTTTAGCATCATGTGTTTTTGATGTTTGCAACTTTGTAGTGTTACGTATTTTTTTTTTGTCTCGTCCTCAAGTTTTTCTATCTCTGATAGGGTTTCATTTTTTATATTTATTGTAAATTATCGATTCAATCTATTACCCTTTGTTATGACTTTTATCAGCGTTATAAGATTCTAAATAAATTATCCATTTCTTGGTCTTTTAGAAAAAGATGTTCTAACTAGATTACCATCTACGACTGTGGTATTTTAATTTGTTGATTAAGCAATCTATGATTTGGCTATGATGGTTTTTACAGATTATGTTTGGACTGATAATTGTTTCTGTCATCAAAAAATACATCCAACAAAAAGTGAAAGACGATTTTTATATTAATACTCTCATCTAACTTTAAAGGATCTTTTTTCAACTTTGATGGCATATAACAGAGTTTTGGCTGAAATTTTCAATTTTGTCGGCATACAACAGGTTATGACTTAAATAATGATATTAGATATTTTGGCAACCAGATTTTCATCGGTTCTAAAATTATTTTGAAGAAAACGGTCCAATTTTGTATTATTTATGTCACAAAAGGCAAGTCTCATATCCCTTTTAGCGTATCCATTGAGTTTAATAGTTTCTTGTCTCTCTCTCTCTCTATCTCTCTCTCTCTCTCTCTCTATATATATATATATATATATATATATATATATTAAAAAAAATGTTAAATCTTGATTCAATGAATGCAAGTCAACAGGTAGTAAAGGTGCAAGAAGAGCAAAAGTATTAAATATGTGATGATCATGCCTATACCAAACCAAAATAAAATTCTAAAGTAGCAAATGCTAAATTCGAAAGATAGGCATTTGTAATGCAGAATACATATTATACTTTCCAAATAAATAACCAAAAACTAACCTCATCGCCAAATAAATTACATTTTAACTAACATCAATAAATTATGATTATATTGTCTTCATTTTTTATTATACATTATAGATAATTAGTTAATATATAGTCAGTATTCTTATATTTGTATCGGTTTTGAACTACAAAAACTTTATTCAAATAATAAAAATGAACTGGAACATATACGTTGGTAATAATACAAAAATAACCTTCAAATTTGGTCTGATACAAAAAAATAGTGTAAAACTTATTTCTAAAAGCAACACGAAATAACAATAAACTTTTAAAAAGAAATGAGAAATTGAAGTGAATTTTTCAAAACCATCAAGAATGTATTATATAGGATGATAATAATGCTGAAAAACACTGAGTTTGGTTTGATGCGAAAAAAGTAATTTTATATGAAAGTAGGATTGCAGTAATACTAAGAAAACCTATATGTTTTTTATCTGATATAAAAATAGTCGAAACATACTTCTAAATCGGCAAGAAATTGGAATGAAATTTTAATTCATCTTTAAATAACCATTTAATAGTTATATGTAAAAGATATGAATACTCAACAGTTAAGACCATACACCTTACACAAACGTCTGCAAATGTCTTGAAGTAAGTATTCATTTTTCCATTATTTTATCATTATCATAAAAAAAATTATAGAAAACAACATCATCATGTGTTTATTGTTGAATTCGTCTCATAATAACAAGTAATTTGTGTGCCAATTATGTATTTTTGACATTTTCAATAAGCCATGAGCAAAATCTAAATCGAGCAAACATAACTGTTATTATATTTATTTGTTAGAGTTTCTTTATATTTAATTTTGTGGGGGGTTTATGTAGTTCATTTCGAATAAACATAAATACGTTTCTATTTTTTGAAATAAACAATTCTATTTTGCAATATAACCATGAAATAACAATGTATTTTGAAAGTACATTGTCAAATGTTGGATTATACTTGCGTAGATCTGTTTTCGCGCATGCTCAGCTATATGTAGTTGTTTTCCGTATCACAAGTAAAAAAGTTTAAAGATACTTTGTGACGAGAAATGTCGTTCAACCAATCAAACAAAAAAATTGTTCACAAAGAGGTCCTTCAACGACTATATATATTTACCGATTTCAATGTATTTTCTACATATTTCAATAATACCAATAACCCTGATTTTTTTTATTATTTTTCTGCAATATCTATATACATTTATATTTTATTTATGCGTTCACCGCGTTTAACGTGGGTCATAATCTAGTGTTATATAAAATGATAAAACTTGTTGAATCGGAACAATTAAATACTTATTTTTTGATTTAAAAATATATTAATATCTTGATAAAGTAGTTAAATATGTTTTATTTGTAATTTAACCCAAAAGAATCAAGATCATTTTGTCAATGTTAATATTTGTACTCTCATTTGTGAAAATTATAAACGGAAAAAACCATTACTCGTCTTTACTGAGGAAAGATAAACGGTAAAAACATGTTGAGCAAAACACAAAAGCTCGGTATGTCGGGCACTTAGACTAATGTTTGTCGAGCCATATCAGCATGTCGTACCCGTATGATTGAAACACATCAGCATGTCCGGCCCACACATAACCCATTTTTTGAAGGTATCACTTGGGATTTAAAATCTATCCTGCTGTTTCGACACACACACTTTCTCTCTCGTTGTTGCTTTTCTCTCTTCTTTGAATAAAACCTAAACCCAATTGAATCCCCAAAAAAGGTTAAAGATATAGCAAAAAATCTCTCGTCTTGAGAAGAAGATCTAGCTTCGTCGAATTTGTTAAGCTTCACCTCACCCCCATGTTAAGCTTTACTTGTCTTAGTTGAGAAAAGATAAACAACAAAAACATGTTGAGCAAAACACAAAAGCTCGGTATGTCGGACACTCAGGCTAGTGTTTATTGAATCATATCAGCATGTCGTACCCGTATGACCGAAACACATCAACATTTCCGGGCCACACATAACCCATTTTTTTAAGGTATGACTTTGGATTTCAAAGTCAATAAAATAAGATAAAAAATAAGATAAAAACGAGCATAATCCGATAACAAAAGTCTTTCTTCACGATCTGTCATCGAATTTCTCTCCCTCTCTCCATCCTGTTGTTTCGACACACACACTTTCTCTCTCATTGTTGCTTTTCTCTCTTCTTTGAATAAACCCAAACCTAAAACCTGAACCCAATTTAAATCCCCCAAAAGGTTAAAGATACAGCAAAAAATCCCTCGTCTTAAGAAGAAGATTTAGCTTCGACTCACCATGAACGATCTTTTATTTGTAAGTTTCTCTCTAGAAATTCTATCCTTTTTTATTTCTTAGTGATGGGAAATTCGAACTTTTGAGCGACAAAAGCTGCATTGTTCACAACTATAGAGATTCTCAGTACCTTCTTTAAGTCTTAGATTAATTTTTAGATCTTGTTTCCAGTTTCATATTTGTCGGTGACGAATGTTGGTGTCTAAGCTTGTAATCAACTGGAATCTATGAATTCATTTATGCTCTCTAGTCGCATCAACTTGTCTAACTGAAATTTATCCTTTTAAATAGGCTTATGGTACTAAAAAAACTCAATATCATTGTGAAATAAACTCTAACACCGTAAATTTTCAAAACAAAATTTTCATTTATAATCACATAATTCTCACAACACTTTTTACAAAATCTCATTTATTTAATTGACAATTCTCAACTCCATAATTGTTTAAATAAAATCCAGGATCTTCAAAACATAACTCTTTCACTGGTGTGTACAATCAAGCCGGTGCATTCCTGTGATCCTGAGAAAAACCAAAAACACATAACATGATAAGCACGAAGTTTAGTGAGTTCCCCAAAGTACCACATACAACACATTAGCCACTCGAGGCTATAACTCTGTAAGACCCTTCGGTCTATGTATCTCGGTGGGACCCTCTAGTCTGGTCTCAGTGAGGACCCTCCGGTCTCACAACTCGTTGGACCCTCCGGTCCGGTCTCAGTAACACATAACATAGCATATATATCACACAGACAAAATGCATAACTCAAGTAAGCACATAAGACTCTCTGGTCACACATAAATACCACTCAAGGTAAAGTATAGTGAGAAAACTCAACTTGCGAGCAGCAAGCAAATAACCTCGCACCCGAATCTCGAACTAGCCTCCGCTTATCACAAGGATGAATATCTCTAATTAATACTCTTTTTCACGAATCTAATAACTAAAGGCTATTCTTTCTCTCCCTAACTCTTGAATTAGGTAGAAGACCATTTTACCCCTTCATGGTCTCCATTATTCATGTTGACCAAACCCTAAAGTCAAACTCGAGTCAACAATACATGTTTGACCCGACTCATCGAGTCCCCTCGTTTCCTCAGAAGTCTCAAGAAAGTCCAGCTTAACTCGTCGAGTTAGCCCTGCAACTCGTCAGGTTATCGCACAATCAAACCCATCGGGACAAACCCTCACCAACTCGTCGAGTCAGGCCATGGACTCGCCGAGTCCCTTCGATGAGATTCCTCATTCGGACGATTTAAGGCAGATCTATCACTCCAAACACTAGATCTACCATCCTAAGGGTCGTTTGTTATGTAAATCTGCAAGTTTTACGTTCAAACATGGCATATAAGACTCATAATGCCAATACATGCTCCAACAAGGGAACCAACACAATAACTCTTTAAGTGACTAAATAAAGCTTGAGCCTTTGGACCCTCAGGACCTCACAAGGTCCAGATATGAAGTCTAGGCCTAGAAAGGAACTCCATGTACTCATATCTCAACAAAAAGGTGATAGAAAGCCCTAATAATCAAAACATGAGATCTAATCACCACAAGGAGAAAGGTGAGAACTTTTTACCTTCTCCAAAAGCTCTTGGACGAAATAACACTGATCCGCTGGCCCCTTTCTTGTTCCTTGATGAATCCTTCCCTCCTCTTCAAAAGAAATGTACCAAAAGACCCCAAAATCAGTTCCTTTCACACTCTCTAGCTCAAAAGGATGTTATGGTTTACTCTCGGTGAAGGTGAGCCGCAAATGAGGCTATAAGTTCCCTTATATAGGCCCCAACCCCAGGAAATTAGGGTTTCTCTGCCCAACACCTGCTCGGCGAGTCATCTCTCTGACTCGTCGAGTCCACTCATTAATTCCATGTGGCCAATCTGAAACTACTCGTCGAGTTGGACTCACGACTCGTCGATTCACTCCCTAAATCTCAAAGATAAACACACATTAATGTATCTGAAAGTCTGAATGTTTCATAACCTAAATACACAAAACATACTCCTTTTGAGCCAATAACTACAATGATCATACAACACTCATACAAAACTGAGAAAACATGTGTATCACAGCAAAATGTTACTAATATCTTGTAAGACAACATAAAGTATTTATGCAAAACTTTATTTTTTGATCACAAACAAGATATTTAACATCCTAATGAAACATGTAAAATTGAAATGTTACTACTGCTCATGCTCCCATCCTCCTAATCTCAACCCAGGATCATAGTTTGTGAAGAGTCAGAATTCATTCCCAAGCTTGCTGGAATGTTGTGGCCTAAAGCCACATGGTCGTAACCCTAAGAGTTCACCTGCTCTTTCATGTTGCACTGCACGTGTACACAAATAACAGTCATCTTGTCATCAACATCAACAAGAAGCAATCAAATAATCAAGATATAGTCTGGACCTGTGAGTAAAAGCAAGAATGATTCTCCAGGTTGGTTAAGAAATCCAATCGTTTTAGAAACCTTTTCCAAGCACTCCTTGCTCTATTCATCACAATTCACATCAAACATCACCAAGAAATTGAGATGCGTAAATGACTAAATTGTATGTAGTAATCTGATATAAGTAAAATATTACTAGGTAACGAGGATCTGCAATGATGATGCAGAATGAATGTTTCATTGTTGATGGGAGCTCTAATGGTTGATTGTAGTCATAAAAGGTGAATTCATTTCCGTATTGCTGAAACCAAATGTCATATTCGAGAAGTTGCACAGGTAGATCATGGTGCAGTTTCTAAAAACCAAATGAAGAGAAGAATGATTAAGATCTTTCGTACATAAACAACAATTTTGGGAATTTGCTATGCATAATGACTCTAAATCAAACATATTAGAGGTCAAAATCCTCACGAATCAAACACGTTCTTACACTGTTAGACATGGTATGATAAATATAAACACGATATAGGCATAGTGTTCGAGTATATTGGTATCAACGTAGCATATTGTAATCTATATTCTATATAAATTAAGTATATTTATTGCTGAGTTATCGTAAAAATAGAGCTTATATGTCATGCGAACAAGACCGTTTTGCATACTCTTTATCTATTTATGAATTAGCTAATTGTTACATCCCAAAATTCGAGGCTAAAATTTTCATTTTTAAATAAGTTATTACATAAAACCATCAGTATAAAAACATTCATTATAATATCTCATGACAAACCAAAGTGTCAGTAATCAAAACATATTATCATAAAACCATATCAGAGTGTAATCCCAAAGATCTCATGTGCGGAAAACATAGTGTGATGCGCTGCGATCGAGCCGGCTCCTTTCCTTGAAAACAAAGTACCTGAAACCAAAACTGAAAACTGTAAGCACGAAGGTTAGTGAGTTCCCCAAAGACCACATACCATACAAACCAACTAATCTATACATGCCACACATAGCCAAGAACCATACATAACCAACATATCCATAATCAAGTAAGGTGTTATGTGCCAAACATAGTCTTGCTAAGGTGCTATGTGCCAAACATAGTTTTGCTAAGGTGCTATGTGCCAAACATAGTCTTGCGGTTATTCCACGGGCCACACATGGTCTTCCTGGTCAAGCATGGGGCCACTCCCTGGGTCTTACAGACAAGTGCCAAGGGCTACACCCTGGTCTTCCATGCAAGTATCACGAAGACAACTATACATACTACTCTACTAGGCTACTCCGCATATAGTGTGTTAGGAGCCACCTCCTGGTCTTCCATACATAATAGCATACAGTGCGCCAGGAGCCACCTCCTGGTCTTTCTTACATATTACCTAGGGCTAACCTCCAGGTCTTCCTATCATACATTATAACATACTGTGTGCCAGGAGCCGCCTCCTAGTCTTTCATGCATAATGCCTAGGGCTAACCCCGGGTCTTCCTATCATACATAACTACATGGGCCGACATTGTGGCCGTAAACCCATATAAACAGTGAGGAGACTCACCTCGCACTGCTGAACTTTGCTGATAATCCTTTGGCTGCTGACCGACAACTCTCTGAATCGCTGCTCCACTAGCTCCACTAGCTACTAGTATCAACATAGCACTTAGTTCCAAACTGAAGTTTAAAAATCAAACTAAATCAACTTTGGTCAAAGTCAACCTTCCAGTTGACTCGACTCGCCGAGTCAACCCATAGACTCTCAGAGTCCTTAAACTCATAAGCTCTCAAAATACGACCCAGCTCGCCGAGTCACCCCAAGACTCGTCGAGTTCAACGGTCTCTGAGTCCCATCCTATCCAACTCACTGAGTCACCACTCAACTCACTGATCTGCATCTTAACTAGAAGAGGTTGGGGGGTTCTGCGATCTAACTCGTCGAGTCCAAGAACAGACTCGTCGAGTCCTAGGCAATCTTCAATAGACTCGTGGAGTTGTTCTTACAACTCGCCGAGTCCATGCACATATTCATACAACTCGTCGAGTACACCCATGTGACTCGCCGAATCTCTCTAGTTCTCAATCCATACAGTGGCTCTTCGAGCCATGCAGAGGCTCCAATCCATAGATCCACTCTTCTACAGTCTAACCCCCACATAAAGTTGCAAACTTTACATGAAACCAAGGAGATATAGGCCCAAAACACTCTAGGGTTAGGGTTTAAGACAAAGGGGCTTCACCAATGACCCATTGACTTCAGTTTTAAGACATTCTGGACCATCACAACCCTAGATCTGAAGTAGCAACCTCAGATCTAAGTACCAAACCCGAAATAGATCTAATCTTACCAAAATAGCCCCAAAATCTCATTCAAGAATAGATCTAATTGCAATAAAGCCAAAGCAACAACTTATTACCTCAAGGATGACCTCCCACTAAAGAATAATCCAACTCTCTACAAACCCCTTGCTCCAAGCTTCTTGATCTTCAATATCTCTTCACAAAACTCCCTTATCTAAGCTCCAAATTGCTCCCAAGGACTCTCACTCACGATTTAGGGTCTCTGGATCTTAAAAGGGAAGAAAAGAGGCTGGGGAAGGGATGTAATGTTCTTTAAATAGGGCACAACCCCCAGGATTAGGGTTTTTCTCGTCCAGACGAAACTCGCCGAGTCCACTAGCCGAGTCAGTCACTTACTCTATGCCCCGGATCCCGCTCCGACTCGTCGAGTTCCTCCCTGGACTCGACGAGTTGAGTCTTGACTTAGAGCCTTTTCTTTCTTTTCTTGGTCTTTCTGACTCTGGGTGTTACACTAATGCATTGTTTTCAACCAAATACTTTGTATGTGGATTTATATTTCGTATCAAAATTTGGTTTAGTTTCATCATCAAAAAGTGACAGATATATCTCATAATAACATTTTAATCGGTTTTTATATTTTATTAAATAACGCTATACTTAAAAATTGTATTTATATATTATCATATATTAAAAATCAAACAAATTGTGATGGTTGTTTCAATAAAAAAAATAGATTATAATTAAGAGGGTGTTTAAAAAAATGACATTTCATTAAGTTCGGATTTATAAGTTTTCAAAATTCTTTATAATTTTTTGGGTTGTAAAAGTTAAATACCCTTAAAACATGTATAAGTTAATACAAACACTTTTTAAAAAACAAGTTATTGACGTATTGACTTTTTCCACCATAAAACTTAATCCAAAACACTTTTTTTTTTTAAAAAAAAACTCATGTTCTCAACACCATAAGTCATTATGCCTAAAAGTCCTTTTTGTTTTTTCACATGGGTCTAAAAAGTGCGCTATGGCGTGCCTCAAGATGTGCCATGACGCAAAGGGCAGTGTGGCCATTACCAAAACGTCCAAGACGGTTTGTTAAGCGTGACGCCCAAATAACGTATCAAGGCGCAAATTTTTTTCGATTTTTTCTTTGTTTTTTTTGTCGGGCCTAAAATAATTGAGTTGATGTTAAGTTTTTTATATTAAATATTAATATAATACTTCTAAAAACTTTTTATATTTGATAAAATTTAATAACTATATGATTTATCTCTTATTGTGTATATAAAATAGTCACGCTTTGAAAAACATCATGACTTAACTTTGATATTGCCGCCAAGTCATGCCTTACGATATTTAGAACCTTGGTTTTTTAACATGAAATTCCAAACACACTGTTAATCTTAAAATATATAAGACTTTATAGCCTTAGCGATCTAAACAAAATTCGTAGTGTTCATTCAACCGAGAGCGTGCATAAAAACAACACCCAAAACTGACTTCGTATGAGGAAGTAATGATTTTTCTAAGTTTCGGATCAACAGTACACGACCCGGAGTTCGAATGTTAAATCAATCAATTTTTGGCCGACACAACCTAAACGAGAATCGAAGGTCTTGTTAATAGTAGTTCAACGGTAAAAAGACAGACGAAAACGGACGTCGGATAGAGAAGTTATGAATTTTTTTAACGGACTTTCATGTCCCGGCTTGTTAAAAATATAACATTAAAAATAAAGTCAAAATTAGCCGAGGAAGTCTTAACGAAAGTTGTAGAGTACGTCTTTACCTACGCGTGGATATAAGGAACGTTGAAAACGAAGCTCGTATGCGAAATTTATGAATTTTAGAAGTTGGAGGTGTAAATTGCGAAGTTGGATGCAAGGCTACGCCCCAGTAGAAGGAAGGAAAGTGCAGTGTATGCAAAGACTAGGCCTTAGTTTGGCCACATTACCCCATTCGATGAACGACACGTATTATACGAACCTCACACCTACACGCTGTGTACGAGGGTACACCCTGTGTACCGAGGAACGCCCAACGTACCTCGCAGGAACGCCCCGCGTATCCCATGACCTCCGGTTGTAAATAAAGACCGAAAACAACCTTCATTTTCACACTTTTTGCCAACACATTCTCTCTCTACTCTCTTTCTAGACCATCCCACCCTTCAAAGCATAGGGTACCCTCCTCGCACTAGAAGAAAGCCCCGAAGAGCCCGAAGTCTCCGAGAAAAAGAGTTCTTCGGTTTGAAACTCTGCCCGCGCAGAGCCCAGTTTTAAAGCAAACTTCCCGGTTTCATCAAAGAAGATCATTTTAAGAAGCAAAGTGCTGTCAAAATCACCTTCTTATCAGGTGAGCGCATGGTCACTTTCATATTACACATAGATATGAAGTATTTTATATAAATTACGTGCTATGTGTGTGTGTGTGTGTGTGTATATATATATATATATATATATATATATATATATATATATTACCTGTTTACCTGAGATGTATGCTGGATGAAGATCTATACTTCTTTCATTTCAGATCTGAACTTTTTCTCTTGGATCTGAAACTTTTCCCTTCAAATCTAAACTTTTTAGATCTAAACTATATATATATATATATATATATATATATATATATATATATATAGTACTTGAGATCTGTACTGGATGAAAGATCTAAACTTCTTTCTTTTCAGATTTGAACTTTTTCTTCAGATCTAGACTGTATAAGTATTTTAGGCTTTGAAAGTTATACTGGATGAAAGATTTAAACTTTGTTTTTCAGATCTAGACCTTTTTCTTCGGATCTGAACCGTATATGTATTTTCTTTACAGATATAAACTTTTTCTTCAGATCTGAAACGTATATGAATTTTCTTTATAGATCTAAACCTTTTCTTCAGATCTGAACGATATATGTACTTTATATGTACGAATATGTTGGGTAGGACATGGGTAGATGAAATAAGTTTATGCGTGATGAAAAATGAGTTGGAGGATGATATGAAAAAGTGATATAGACAATGAGATGAGGGTGAGGGGTGAAAAATGAGAGAAACCTTTACTCGAATGATGGCCTCGTCATCTATCAGAGTATGAATGACAACCATGGACTATTCTAGACGGCCCGTGGAACACTAGCAGGCTCACTACCTGTAGGTGTTGTGAACGATATGTTCAGTCGATGTACTAGATCTAAAAACCCATTGGCATGTATTGCAGGTGGACTCCCACAAATAATATTGTCGATAAATGAGAGTTGTGGACTTAGCTCCCGTTGGATGAACCCTGGCAACTATGGATTTAGTGTCTGTTGTAGAAACCCTGACGACGACGGACTGCGTGCCTATTCCTAAGAAAAATCCTTAGGGATGAGGGATAGATGATTCTTAGGGTAGATCCTTAAGAAATAAAGAAGATAATGGGGATGGGTAATTGGGTTAATTGTTTGATGATGGAACATAATAGCTTTATTATTGTGGGTTGAAAACCCTGTGTACTCACTAGGTTTCCCAACCTGACCCACTTAGTTTATTTGTATCATAGGTGTCAATATAAAGTTGCACTACACCGAGAGACTACAAAATGTAGATCACTAGTGTAATGAATGTATGTTCTGTTTATGCTTATGTTTATGTATTGACGTTGACATCCCAAAGTTTTGAAATGAATAAAATACATTTCCTCGAAAATGATTTGAAAGTATATTTATCATGTTTTCCTGGGAACAAATTCCGGAACACTTTTCTTTTGAAAGATTACTCTGACTTTATTATAAAAGCATAAAAGAAATCAGTCTTTTCTTGCCACGAAAAATGAGGATGTCACATGTTGCTAGTCAAGAAGCTTCTTTTCTACTTCTCTTACTGCATCATGGCGTTCTTGGATCTCTGCAAGGGTGTCAAGTACCTACAAAATACAAATAAAACATAATCCATCAAATACACAAAAAATTTATCATTTATGTTTTTTATAATTATAATTATAATAAATATTTCTAACCTGTCCTCGCCCTTGTTCCCGAACTGCTTTCTAAAAAAAATCTCTTCACTATCTCCTGTCTCTATAAGTTGATCGATTGTTTGTAGAAAGTAAGGGATAAAATGAACACGTGACTATAAAAGTTATAAAAAATATTGGCTTGAAAATTATATATAAAAAAAGTGTCACCTCTTCATCTACCCTGGTTCTTGTTACTGAAAATAGTCACAAAAAAAAAAAGTTGGATAAATTAACTTAAAACGCATTAAGTTTCCAAGTATACGATGTTTAAGTTAAATGTAGAACCTATATACACACGCCTCTTAACCACCTCACGATGTTCTTGATGAATACTTTCCCTTAGAGCCTAAAATGTAAAAACATTAAATCATTTGAGTAAAACCATTAACCATATAATGATATAAAAGAATGAAATCCATGGAAAATGGATGCAATACCTGAAATTCAGACATATTGTCTTTAAACTTTTTCTTCAAAGAACTGCAAACAAATATCATTGTAAACCTCAATATGTAATTTTTTTTATTTATTAAAATTAGGGTGGACAGTAAGAACTAAGAACTTACAGAGTAGTTGTTGTTCTTGACCGGTCAACTCCAGTTCCTTTTCCACATCCAGGCGTTTGTCTGTTGGCCAAGTTCTAGTAAATAATAAAAAGGATGAATTATTGAATTATATATTAACAAAAAGTAAGAATTATCAAATAAATAATAACAAAAAGTTGTTTGTAAAAATTAAACTAACCTCTTTGTCAAGTTCCTCAATTTTTGATTTAATAAACGTGTCAATCTTTCCAAGTTCATCCACATCTTTCTCCATACGTTGCTTGATTGTTGTAAAATAACAAACATTTAATTAAAATTTATATCAATAATTGAAAATATTGATATCTTGTTTACATTAGCAAATGGCTATGAACTCCTGATTCATATCGAAATAGGAACGACCTTTCACAGCAGTAACCTTGGTTACAACCTTGGATTCCTCATGAGCATCTTGTAGTTTTTTGAGTAATTTATTCAACTTTTCATATTGTTTTCGATGGATTGAACCTAGAAAAAAGAAGTATACAATAAGTTTTATGATTTACACAAGGAAATTAGACATGTAGAAATAAAAGGATATAAGTATATAACACACCTTCTTGAAAAAATCATCCAACCCTAACTCTGTAGAATTCGAGTTATTTTGTGTTCCCATTTCAAGATCACCATGGCTATAATCTTGACCCCGAGGATTCTCAAATGATTTATAAAAGACATTATTGGATAAGTATCTTTCAACACTTTAATAGAAAAGGACAGGTGTTATAATTCCACCATTGCTTAAATCTTCTAGGCAATTCTGCCTTTGAGACTAGAACTTAATTCAGTACCAAAGAGAACACTGAATCAAACTTAGATTTAAGTAAGAAATGATTCCGCTTATGCTTGGTTTCACATATAAGATCGGAATTTTACATATCCCCTTACTATATAGTTAGAGAAATTTACATCAATTAATAGGAAATCATAAGAACAAACAACAATCACACAATCTGATGAAGATAAAAAAATTTCGCCAACCAGATTAAACCTACTAATCGGTTTAACGAACAAACGAGAAACTAGAAATTTGGAAACTTCATTTCCATACACATTATCTTCGCGTTTGAAACTTGTCTTGTGAACACTTCAAAAACCTACTAGAAGTTCCTAATTTTGAAATTAGCATCCGATTAATGATAAACCAGATTGCAACAACTAATTGCCCTTGCAATTCCTGCAGGAGAAGAAGGATTCACGAACACATACAAGCCAATAGAGTAAAATCTAAAATCCCGTTTACGAATTCAAGTAGTTCAATTCATACGACTAGGGGTGTTCATTTGGATGAATCAGTTTGATCCGATCCAATCAAGTGAATCCAAATTGATTTGGGTTCCGATCCAATCAAGTGAATCCAAATTGATTTGGGTTTTCAAAATATGGATCCGAATAGTCCAATCCAAATTCAAATCCGATCCGATCCGATCCAATTACAATTCAATTGGATCGGTTTTTTATAATTCAGTTTTCAAAAAACGAAATATTTTAAAACGATATATAATTATAATATTACCCAACTTTACACAAGAACCAAAAACAAATTATTTACTTGTGTTTTGAAATTTATAAACAACTACTAAGAAGATATATTATAGTTAAATATTTTATAGATAGAAAACTTTTTAAAGAAAATGCATATTAATGTTTTTTTTATCGGGTGAAACGTTTTGAACCTATTTGAAAAAATAAATTACCAAATTAATAAATAACTATGGATATATATTACAAATAGATAAATAATAAATGTTTATTCGGTTTTTTTATACTATTTGGTTCTTATTTTATAAACCAAAACCAATCCGAAATCCAATATAATAATTCAGTTTTGTTAAAAAACCAATCCAAAAATCCGAACAAAATAGTCTACTCCAAATTGTCGAATTAGATAATTGGGTTTATCAATATTAAGTTCATTGGAGTCAAATTAACGACACAGGGAGATCGAGACCTTGTTGATTAGATGAAAGATCGAATTTTCCCTCTAAATCTGGAATCGCTCATGTTTGGTCGCGTTTTACAAGGACTTGAATCCATAGAACGAAATGCATTAATAATCAAACAGATAATTTCATCATTGAAGAAAATACAAGACACTGGGATTGTTCATCGCGATGTAAAACCAACAAATTTAGTCGTAACCAAAAAGGGACAAATCAAACTTATAGATTTTGGCGCAGCAACAGATTTAAGAATCGGGAAAAACTATGTACCCAATCGAGGTCTTCTACATCCAGATTACTGCCCACCAGAGCTCTACATTTTACCAGAAGAAACACCATCGCCACCTCCAGAACCAGTAGCAGCTCTTCTTTTCCCAATTCTATGGCAGGTCTGTGATTATCAATTCAAACATTTTATCTTTCTGAAGCTTTTATGAATGAAATTTAGGGTTCGTTGTGTTGCAGCTAAACAGTCCGGATTTGTTTGATATGTACTCTGCGGGGATTGTGTTGATGCAAATGGCGATACCAAGTTTGAGGTCTAGTGTAGGATTGAAGAACTTTAACCTTGAATTGAAAGTTGTGAATTATGATTTGAAATTGTGGAGGGAAAAGACACGAACTAGACCTGATATAAGTGTTCTCGATCTTGATTCTGGAAGAGGGTGGGATTTGGTTACGAAGCTTATCTCTGAAAGAGGGTCATTGCGTAGAGGTCGTTTATCAGCTTCTCATGCACTCAGGCATCCCTATTTCTTATTGGGTGGTGATCAAGCTGCTTCTGTGCTTTCCAAGCTCAGTTTATCAAAGTAGAAAACTCAAAAAGAGAGAGAGATTCTTCTCTTACACATTGATTTTCTGGTAAATTTCTTTGCTTGTGTAAAGCTTTCATGAGTATAATTCATAGCAAGAAGCAAGATGAACGAATCTGTAGGCTTCTTTCACTATTTTATGATACATGTATAAGTCAAATCACTCCCAAAGATCCATTGTCAAATTAATGAAATGAAATAATACTTCAAAAAAGATAATAGGACATTTTATAAATCCTTTATTTGTTACATTTTTATTGTGGAGTTGTTTACTTGAACTAAGAGCCAGCTTTCCTACGGCCGACTCGTGCAACAAAACCAGTCTTGATGGGGGCCACCGACCTCCCAGAACCACACTGTAAACCAAATTCAAACATTATAATTATCAATTAACAAATAAAATTACAAAATGTGTTTTTCTAATGTTTTTTAGTTGTTATTTACTTATTTAATTAATTACCTGTTCACATCTAAGGAAGAAGAGACGATTCTCTTTTGAAAGAATTGTATCTGGACTTCTGCAACCATTGCATATCACATATTCGTCTGCAATCACAACCATTATAACATTTTTTATAAATTTATAATGACACTGATAATATGTTTGGAATGGAAAGAATTTATAACAACAAAGAGCAAGAGTTACTTATGTATCTTCGAAGGATTCCTTCGAAATTCTTGGGAGCAAATCGACCCTTGACTACCAATCTTTGTTGACCATCAAGGGAACCACTTGTTCCCATTTCAGCTAGAAGGAAAGTCATCACATGATCCGGCTGTCTATGCATTCTAGAAAATAAATAAAATGAATAGTAAGACCCTGTTTGTTACATATGACTGTACAAAATTGAACTGAACATAAAATATAACATTGAGTTTTGGCATGCATTGGACTGAGATTGGAACTGATAACAACTGTACCACCAAACAAAAGGTGAAGTTAGGTGAGAATGTACTTGTCACAGTAATTATTGAAAAATAGTAGACTTGGCAATGGGCGGGTTTGGAGCGAATCGACCTTGATCCAAACCCTTTTAACAAATTTCAAAATCCGATCCAAACCCGCTCCGTAACCTGCAGAGTTTTGAATAATAAAATCCATATCCTTATCCACTGAATCAACGGGTATCCAAACCCGCCCCATAATCCATAGGCCTTTTGAATTGTCAAACACATTTTACTTAATTCATAAAATAATATTTCTTAAATAAAACAAATGTTGATTTAGAAAACACATTACGTACTCGAGGACTTTCGATTGGAATTAAAAATTACTAGTGTAGTAACTTTTGATTTATTTTTTACTGTCACTTGTAGTGATAAAGAATAGCAATGACAAACTATCTTTCAGTTGGTGAATGAATTTATTGATTTATGAATGAAATATGATGATTGCTTGATGAAATATAAATGAAATGAGATCATAATTCTTAGTAGAAGACTGGAAGTCTAGAAGTTGACTGCTTGGTTCTTATGTATAAACAGTTTGGACTTTAGCATTTTTCCTTTGGACTTTTGATTGAAATTAAAATTAAACTTTAAGCAATATAAAATATAAACCAATAATTCAAAAATTATACGGGGTGGGTTATAATCGGAGCGGATCAGTGATGATCGATACCCAACCCTTTTAATAAAAGGGTTAACGGGTATGGGTCGTTAACGGGTAAACGAATCAAAAACTATGCTCGAAACCCATATAATTCTTAAGGGTTTGGATCGGACCAGGGTCAAAACTTGCTCCATTGCCATGCCTAAAAAATAGTCTTTCAAAGTTTTTCCAATCCTCTCTTATACTGTAGGGTGTTCTATAATAGTAAATGTAAGGAAAATATACTAAAAAGAAGACATGCATACGTTCGGCATAAATCCATAAAGTTAACAAAAACGGTCTTTTTTGTGCCTTCTCGAAGAACTTGTGGGGGTCTTATCACTGTCCTTCGTCTATCTCCAGCGAGTTCAGGGTTGTTCTCTCGCAAAATATGAAAAACCCTACTTAAAAGCTGTATATATATATAGTTTAACAAATATATTAGTGTATTTTAATAACAAATCGTGACAAAATAAATAAATAAATAAACAGATAAATAAATAAATAAATAAATGTTAATGTACCGTTACACACACCTCCTCATATAAATAATCTCGGTCGGTTCCTTCCCATGGATATTTTTGTCGCGAGTTGTTTGCATCTTCTTCATCCTCACCACCATGCCCTATGTACAACATTCAAGGGTGATGTTTCTATTTCATTTAATACAGAAAGAACAAACTAATAGAGAATGTTAAGAAAGTGAGCTTTAATTTTTTACAAATTTGCTTCCATTTGTTTTTATCTTTACGTTTTTCTATATTTTTAAACATCATTTATCCAAACATTAAAAAAAATGTTTAAGAGAAATTGTGCACCTGTAAGGGCACTTCCATCGTTTGCCAAATCGCTTCCCACCTAAGAAAACAAGAATCAATAATTTCGGGGCAACTTTTTTTTTTTTTAAATGGTTTATACTTACTGGTTTTTTCTTCTTCTTTTTCAAACCCACAAATGCATTTTCTAATCCATCAGCAACTGCAAGAAACCAAATACCATGTGTTAAACATGAAAAATGAAAGTTCGTTTGATGGTAAGTAATAGAAATAGACTAACGAGATAGGTTATCTATCTTCTCAGATAAGCGATCATCCTCTGCAATATCTTGGATTACAACCTTTTTCTTCTTCTTTTTCTTTGTGGGATCAAAGGGGGCAATCTGCAAAAATAGCTCATTAAAGCATGCAAGTTTCATTGCAAAAAAGTTATGTATAAATATGAACAGTTTCGTCTTACTTCTCCAATATCATCTTTGGATTCAGATGAAGTTTGTTCAGCCATAATCAATTCAACTGAGATATTGTAGTAGATGATGAAACCTAAAAGAATCCACAGATCGAGATCATGTTAGGGCCAAAATTGAAGATGAAATTGCAGTTGTAGGTGTTATAGGAAATAGATTTGATGGGGTTCTTTTTTTCAAGAATAATGATTGGAAATATAACCTGGCTTGAAAGACTTAGAAAAAATATGGAGGCTTTTGGTTATGTTCTTATTCTTTGTTTTCCTTTAGATGCAAAAATATCGTGCGAGAGATTGGGATCTTGCAATAAGCCAATTCAAGATCGTTATTTATAGTTGATGATCACTTTCCATATTTAGAAAACAAGTTTACAGAAAGAATAAGCGAGTGATTTCAAAACTAATATTATTTGGTTATTTTTATGATAGATTTTACAATGTCACTGTTTAGGAGAAAATAGTAGTGATCACAATTTCAAGCATTGACTTAATGTATTTTTTATAAAATTTAAAGATATAACAATTTCCGTGAAATCATTTAAATTATAACTAATTAGATTAGATATATCCCGACACATTGAGCAGGAAAAATTATGTGGTGGCTTCGGTATTATTGAGTAATGTTGAAATATGTTGTAGATCATCTTGAAATAAGTAAATAACGTGAAAGTCATTGAGTTGTGGAGCTTAGGATGTTTAAATATCCAAATCCAAAAATCTAAAATCCGATTTGAAAATATCCAAAAAAAAAAAAAACGGATATCCAATTTTTTGTATTCAGATTTGGATAACAATTTTGTAAAATTCGGATATCCGAAAATCCGAAATGCATGTATTTTTAAATTTTTATATAATGCAATAATTCAATGAATTTTATATAAAATTCCGACATTGTGATATGTTTATTGTTTAATAAAATAATGTTTAGATTACTAGTTACATATCACCGACGTTTCCACTGTTTTCTTATTAATGTTTCAACATTATGGTATTTTTATTATTTAATCAAAGTAATTAATTTTTGGTGTTTTTAAAAGTAAAGATAATGAGACATTGAAGTGTGACCATATATAAACGGGCTTTAAACTGTTTGCTATTAACTTTGTTGGCCATCGGTGTTCTTTTTCTTGTTTGTTGAATCACCACATCAAGTTATCGAAATCACTTTTTTCTTTTTGTTCTTCTAGTTTTTTATAACTTAAATGAATTGAACAAGAAAGATAATACATTTTTGTTCTTCTGCTATGTGGGAGAATGAGATTGGGTCAGAGAAAATAGATTTTTAGAAAGAAAAAAAAAGGTCATTTCGCAGCTGGATAATCCAATTTTATGGAGGAAACCTGTATAATTCGAAACTATTTTCAGAATGTCCATAACTTAGCTTAATTTTTGAAAAAACCTTAACGGGATTATATAAATGTTTAATTAATCTCATTATACATGAATAGTTTAGGTATCAATATGAATAAATAGTGAGATTGATAGCCGGTAATGCAACTAAAAAAGACACAACGACATACGATGGCACATGCCAAAGTGTTCATATGCGGCACCCACCATTTCTAGGCTGGACTCCAAATATAAAAACACGTATTACTACTTTTCTATATGTTATTAGCGTTAGAGTTAACAAAAAAAAGATAAATTCAAAATACTTTATAATCTTATAAATTGATGATATCATATTCCTTATTAATAACTGATTTAACAAATTTACTATTTTGTATGAAATTTACATAAATGAACAACATGTTAACGAGAAAAACAATAACATATTATGAAGAGGACATAATACAAAAGTCCAAACCCCGGCCAGCTAAAAGCTTGAAAACTTCAACCAAATGAGGTTTTATGCCTCTAAATTATATCTTATTTCCAAAATAAGTCCTCCTATTATCAGTTATTCACACACTAACTCCCCAAAATCATAATTTTTGTGGAAGATTAACAAAAATAAAAACTATTTTAATGAATTCAGGGCTATTACTTACTTATAACAAACCTATGTTCAATATGGAAAACCAATAATTATGTATAAAGTAAAAACACACAGTCAAAACTTAATTTATAACATGACTTTTTCTTATCTCCGTTTTAGATGCAAGATTTTCAAATATACCATCTTACATATATAATAAATAGTGTACCATCTAAAAGTGTATGAACTATGAAGCCATAGTATCATAACTTTTATGAATGTGATATATGCTTTAGTTCCAAGTGTAAACTTACTTTCTTCTCCTATTTGACAATGTGGCCCTTTGCTCCAAATACATATAGGATGCTTGGTTTGACATGAATTTGGTGTGTATTTCTAACATAAGTCGGGTATATAAAATACTAAAATATTTACAATAGAAAACAATATTATATCATGCATAGGGATAGTAATAACTATTGAGAAATGGTGGATATAAGATGATGGATTTTTTTATGAACTTCAAAAAAAAAAAAAAAATTAACAGCAAAAGAATGTTTTATTAGAGAATTTAAGCTAGCGAGTGGCTAGAAGAAAATTACAAGCATATCCGAGATGGGTTAGTACACCAATCAAGCCAGTTGATTGGACACATAGAAATACATTTGATATTTTTATAAACATACTTAAGATGGGTTAGTACAAAAAAAAAAAAAAAAAACTTTTATTATGTATATGGACACATAGAAATACATTTGATATTTTTATATGTTATTTTAGAACAAGAAAATGATTCAACAATCAAAATAGAGATATCAAGAATAAAAAGTATACTACATGCTTTTTTACATATATAAAAAGAGGGTTTTGTGGTGGCGAGGAATAAAAAGTTGATACATACTTTTGTTGTTTTTGTGGTGGTAAGGAAGACATGGTTGAACATGTAGTTTTTACACATTAGTATGTGAAAATTGTTTGGAATTGGTTGGTGTCTTGGTTTTTTTTTTTCCCTTCTCTCCCACTTGTACTTTTGATCTCATCGAGATGTTGGATTCTCCACAACAAAGAAAAACACACAGTTTGTTAAGGTGTTATTTAATTTACACTTCTAAGTGGCTTTTATAGAAGGAAAGGAATTGGTTTATGTTCAAGGAGATGAGAATCTCACCATACAAGACGAAATATGGCATTCAAAGTATTTCAGTCAATAAAGATTAGAGGGAATGATGATAATTTGGGAGGTGTTTGGCAAAAAAAAACTTATTACTTATTAACTTATAAGTTAATCAGTTATAAAGAATCTATACTAATAAATAAAACCATTTTCTGCCACATGTCATGTCCTCACTAATTTGGACACATGGTATTTTAATAGATTTTTAGAATTTATTTATTTCCACATGGAATTTTCTGATTTGTTCACATATCATAACTTATTTCGGTTACAATTGAGAGAAATAAATGTTTCCTTGAAAAAAAAATGATATATTTATAATGTAATAAATGACATAATTAATGAGAGCTCTAAAATTGATATTGATATTAAATTTAATGTTTAAATATTGATATTAAAATTTTATTTTTAATAAACTCGTGTAGTACACGGGTCTTACACCTAGTTAACTTATAAAAAAATGATTTATTAGTGGTTTGTTACCATTATAAGTTATTTTTATCTAAATATTTTTTTAACTTATAACATTATGAAACTGTTAATAAGGTAATAAATTGTTTTGAAAAATACCATTGATTTGTATAGAATTGGTGTTGAATCCCTTATTAAAATGATTCTGGTAATTTGTTCTAGCATCTTACTAGCCTTTTTGTTTTTAATAATATATCTACTATTAAAAAAAAAAAAAAAAAAGTAATTTATAGAGGGTCGACTGCAATTTAATATGATATTAGTGGTGTAAACCGTAATAATATTATAATATATGGATCGTAATTGTAATTACTAAATGATTGTGGGATTTGACGCGTACGCGGCTATAATATGCTGTCTGATGTACATTTGTGATCTGTCCAACTATTCCCCCTCATTTTGACGCGTTATTCAATTTGACCCCCAGGTATTCCTCTATTTTATTGACCTATTTTCCCTCGGAACTTCCTTTTTGAAAACCTAAGTTTTAACTTTTTTAAATAAAAAAATAAAAAAAATCAAATGGGTGTAAATTAGATAATAAGTTGATACTCTTTAAAATATGAAAATTGCATCACATTATAATGTTCACAAATGAAAGTACAAATATTAAAATTGACAAAATGGTCTTAATTCTTTTGGGTTAATTAAAAAAAGCATATTTAACTACATTGTCAAAATATTAATATATATTTTTAATCATATGATGTAGCAAACTACTATTTTATACAAAAAATAATTATTTAAATGTACCGATTCAGTCAGTTTTATCATTTTATATAATATTTTTCAGTAGTTTATACTCCCTCCGTCCCAATATTATTGTCCACAGACAAAAAACACACAGATTAAGTAAAACATTAATTACCACTAACTTTATTTAATAAAATGACAGTTTTGTCCTTACTTTGTATTTAATGTTCCATTAAATGCTTAGTTAGTTAAGTAATAATGAGGAGTATTTTGGTAAAAATATCATTTATTTTTAAAAGTGGACAATTATTTTGGAACAAACCAAAAAGGAAAGATGAACTATAATTTTGGGACGGAGGGAGTATTATATTACATAAAATGGTAAAAAAAATAAAATAAATAAGACAGAGTAAAAGAAGTTCTTGAACTAATTACATACGTTTTTAGTATTTTATCCGGTAGAAATACGCATTTTAAAACCGGCGATAACTTGGAGGGCTGTTTTTGTAATTTTACATAATCTGCCACCATATGCTCTGCTATTACATCAACCACGTTCTGACGAACATATAAAAAAGTATAAAATCCGGCCACCTATTTTCATTTAATTTCTTCATCTCTCTTCTCTCTCTCCCCCCCCCTCTCTCTCTCTCTCTCTCTCTCTCTCTCTCTCGATAATCACATATTCGTCTCTCTTACTTCAACAATCAATTGATGTTTCTTCAATCTATGGCTTGAGCGCTACTGCATTGACTTCAACATCTCTTCGCAACTTCAAATCCGATCTTTTTCAGGTAATCACAAGATATGATTTTCCAAATTACTTGTTCTTCACTGCTAATTGGACTCGAAAATTTTTCCCTTTATTTTAGCCAACTCTTTCCCCCTTTTGGTTAAACTTCATAGATCTGATTGTTTCATGCACCTTTTTTTTAACTTTATTTCTTTGGTTGAGTCAAATCTGTTTCAAAAGGAGTCGAAACTTGAAACCCTAGTTTCTGTTTGAAGTTAGATCCTTTTTATGTGTTTGGATTTGCTTGATTACGTTATGTTTATGTGTTTGCTGTTTAAAAATTGCTCAATTGTGTGTCGTATTTCTACTGATTTGATTGTTATGAGTTTGAAAGTTGATTGGATTTATCATATGGTTATCATCAAATTTATTTAGTATTCCAGCTTTTTCGAAATTGAATTTTGATCGAGTTTTCCCCAAAATATCTTAGATTTTTCGGCTTTGAGAATATTTAAACATTATTAAAAACTAATATTAAAAACTAATTATGCTTTCTCGTATTTTTTGACTTTCAGGTTTGAAATTGGGGAATTACAATGAGAAACCCCGATCGGCATCACCTTCTTGATTTCCTTCTTTCATTTCTGCTACTAGGTTGCGTAATTCATCTAGTTCTAGCTGCCGATTATAACCCCTCCGATAAGATTCTGCTCAACTGTGGTGCAGTCGGGGAATTAAGCGACGATGATGGCAGACAATGGACCACTGATGTAGGGTCAAAGTTCGCATTAGCAGGCGCAAACTCCATAGTTTCCGATGCCGCCACCCAAAAACCTTCAGTTCCAACAGTCCCTTACATGACCGCTCGAATCTTCAGATCTCAATTCACCTACAGTTTTCCGGTAGCATCCGGCAGAAAATTCGTCCGCCTCTACTTCTACCCAGCATCTTACGCAAACCTAAACGCCTCCAAAGGCGTCTTCTCTGTCGTCTCCGGATCATACACCCTTCTTAAAAACTTCAGCGCATCTGAAACAGCCACCAATCTCAACTTCGATTTCATGACAAAAGAATTCTCAGTCAATGTCGATTCTGGACTCTTAAACATCACATTCACCCCATCTCCAAACACCCCCGATTCTTACGCTTTTGTCAATGGTATTGAAGTCGTCTCTCACCCAGATATCTACTCTTCTAATGGAAACGCCATGATTGTAGGCACCAGCACCGGTTTCAACATCAACAACTACACAGTTCTTGAAAATGTCTACAGATTAAATGTCGGTGGACAGGCTATTTCTCCCTCTGATGACACCGGGTTGTTCAGACCATGGGGAGGTGATAATGCGTACATATTTGGAGCTTCAGTGGGTGTCCCAGTAGCTACAGACCCCAACATCACAATCAATTACCCTTCCGGTATGCCGGATTATGTTGCTCCGGTTGATGTGTACAAAACCGCCAGATCAATGGGTCCCACCCCTGGAATCAACATTGGTTACAATCTGAGTTGGTATTTCGATGTTGACACTGGATTTTCATATCTAGTTAGACTCCATTTCTGTGAAGTTGCTCCCGACATTACTAAAATCAACCAACGAGTGTTTGAAATTTTTATCAACAATCAAACCGCAGAAACCGAAGCAGATGTAATCGGGTGGGCAACAAAACCCAAGGTCCCGGTTTACAAAGATTATGTTGTCTTTTTAGCTCTCGGACCTCCAAGACAAGATCTATGGCTGGAATTGCATCCCAATTCCGTCCGAAAACCGGAAAGATACGATGCAATCTTGAACGGAATCGAGATTTTCAAAATCAACTCAAGTGACGGGAATCTTGCGGGAACACTCCCGGCCCCCGCTCCGGTACAACCGATCATCGACCCCACAAGAGGGTTGTCAATAAAGTCAGGAAAGTCAAACAAAACCGCAGCGGTCGGTGGCGGCATTGGAGGCGGCATAGCTGCTGTCCTCATCATCGGATTATTCGTTTGCTTCTTGACCCGTGGAAGGAAACAACGAAAAGATCCAAATTCAAGCGACGGACCATCCGGTTGGCTTCCATTATCCTTATACGGAAACTCCCATTCCTCCGGCTCCACCGCGAAAACCACCACCACCGGAAGCTACGCCTCCTCCCACCCCTCCAACCTCTGCCGCCACTTCTCCTTCTCCGAGATCAAATCCGCCACCAACAACTTCGACGAATCCCTCCTCCTCGGTGTCGGTGGGTTCGGGAAAGTCTACAAAGGCGAAGTCGATGGAGGCACGACAAAAGTCGCAATCAAACGTGGGAATCCACTTTCCGATCAAGGCGTGAACGAATTCCAAACGGAAATAGAAATGCTCTCCAAACTCCGGCATCGGCATCTCGTTTCCTTAATCGGATATTGCGAGGACAACAACGAAATGATCTTAGTGTACGATTACATGGCACACGGGACCCTCCGTGAGCACCTTTACAAAACCCAAAACCAACCGTTACCATGGAAGCAACGTCTCGAGATTTGTATAGGCGCAGCGAGAGGTCTACATTATCTTCACACGGGTGCAAAGCACACGATTATCCACCGCGATGTGAAAACCACAAATATATTGTTGGACGAGAAGTGGGTGGCGAAGGTTTCGGATTTTGGGTTGTCGAAAACGGGGCCCGCATTGGATCATACGCATGTGAGTACGGTGGTGAAGGGTAGTTTCGGGTATTTGGATCCGGAATATTTTAGGCGGCAACAGCTGACGGATAAGTCGGATGTTTATTCATTCGGGGTGGTTCTGTTTGAGATTTTGTGTGCGCGGCCTGCTTTAAACCCGACACTTGCGAAAGAGCAAGTGAGTTTGGCGGAGTGGGCCCAGCATTGTCATAAGAAGGGTATTTTGGACCAGATAATTGACCCGTATTTGAAGGGGAAGATCTCGCCGGAATGTTTTAAGAAGGTGGCGGAGACGGCGGTGAAGTGTGTGGCGGATCAGGGGATTGAGCGGCCGTCGATGGGTGATGTGCTGTGGAATCTTGAATTTGCTTTGCAGTTGCAGGAGAGCGCGGAGGAGAGTGGCGGGAAAGGGGCGGTGATGGAGATGGAGGATGGTGTTTATGATGATGTGCCATTGAAAGGGAAGGCAGAGGGAGGGGGATATGATGGGATTGGGAATGTGACGGATTCTAGAAGCAGTGGGATGTCGATGAGTATTGGTGGGAGGAGTTTGGCGAGTGAGGATTCCGATGGGTTGACTCCGAGTGCTGTTTTCTCACAGATTATGAATCCTAAAGGAAGGTGATAAATTTGCATTTTCTTTTATTTTTTTTATTTTCACATACAGTTTGATGGAGGTTGTTAATTTATTTTGGTTTTGTACTTGGGTACTACTCTCTCTAATTATAATTATATATTTATATATAAGTTGTATGTATTCACAAGTTGAAGAATAATTGTTTCTTTGATGGTGTTTTGTATGAATTTATGATTCTTATATTCTTTTTTTATAATGTATTAAGATGTTTGATGACATGTAAAATTATGGAATGAAATATTGTGTAAGATAACGGTTTATTTAGTTTACCAAAGAAATAGACCTTATTGATACAATATTTCTCCCATACAGACTTTTTATATTTATTTTATTCGTATAAAACTTCATGTAGGAAAAAGAAAAAAAAACAACCGATTAGTCAACATTTATATGTTACGGCAACATTTATTCAGTTTGATTTTAGTTAGAAGAGAAAACGAGTGAAAGCGATAGGTGGTAAGCGTGGATTGAGGGGTGGGAAAAGTTTTTTAAAAGGTATTAAGAGGAGGTCCACACACAGCACTCACCACTTGTGTAATTATTTAATTATATAGAAATTGTAGTAAAATTATAAGAGAAAATATAAGGGAATTTATATCTGTTTTTGCCTTTCTGGGATGTAGGTGTAATTTCAAAATATACAAGAATAGAAGCTCAAATTAATTATTAAGTTTTCGTACTTCAGAAGAAAGATAAAATATTATGACAGTTGTGAGTTGTGAGTTGTCCAAC